TTTTTTTTTTTTTTTTATACTTTATTGTGAATTTTGTGATAGTTTGCATGGGAGGACATTAGCTTCATATTGATTCCATCGTATATCGTTTCCTTGCCATGGTTACAATCCCCTCCATGCATCATCCATCAACCAAAGGGTATACACTACAAGCCTGTCCTCCCGGTCGTCAGCACACAGCCCCTCTCCCTCTCCTGATCCATAGTCCCCAGCTGCTCCATCTCCCCATGTCATCTTCTCTGCCTCCATCTCTGGCATCACTGCTTCTCTGGGTAGGGTTCCATTCTCCACTCTTCTCCCTTGATGGTCCCAGGGACCTCCGCTCCTAGACTGCAAGGTTAATCACTCCCCTTACTTTGCCGGCAAACGTCTACCTTTACATTTCCAGCCCTTACAATCAGTCCTGATAACAATTATTCACTATTGTATTGCAAGAGACCTATCCGCATCTCCTTTCATCAGCCCCACCTAGACAGATTGGATACTACTCAGTGGAGATTCTACCTTCTTCCTCCATGCCCTCTGGATCTAGGTCTCTTTAAAGCTTGTAAGCGAGTCACTTCTTGCCTCTGTAGCCTCCTCATTCTAGGTAGCCAATGTCCAAGTTGCCCATCCCTGTCCTCTCCATGTGCGGAGGGGGTGGGAATGATCCTCACTGTGAAGATTTGTTCCCACTTTTGAGCTATTGCTTCCATAGGTGTAAGTCAAGTTCATCAAATTGTATCAGATTATTCTTTTTTCCCTCTTCTTTCTTCTTCTGGTTGCACTCTGATCATCCATTCGTTGAAGCCAGGTCAAGTGGGTATTATCTTCAAGTGTTGATGTTCTTGTACATACGCTCTCTCTTCTTATCAACTGGACACTTCACTCTCCACTCTAGTCCTCTGCGGCTATGTCACTGACTCTGGGCCCAAGAGTCCCCAAGTCTTGCCACACTGCTAGCCAACCAGGTCTCCAGCAGGGTTCACAGGAGTCTATTGAATGTTGTAGGGCTTAGCTCGCAGCTTCATTGCTGCTTTTCCCTCATTTCCCCTTAACGGTGAGCGTGTATTCCCATTGAGTCTTAGTCTTACAAGGGGGTTTGCTCAGAGGAGGACCCGACCACTTGCCTTGATGTCTCCTGGGCGAGCCACTTGTT